TTCCCAATTCTTCATCAGCATCATCCTTTTACAGATAAACAAAACTCTTGAACGGACCCTGGGTTTGTGCTTTTGAGATTCCTAAATCAACCCAATTAAAACCAAGTTTTTGAAAGGATATATAAATCGATCAAGTCAAAAAAGGCAGCGTGGCTTGAGAAAAAGCAGAGTCTGGGATTTGGTGGATATCGAAAAAGGAAATGGCGAATCTTTATGTGAAAGCTGTGCCAACGGCGGATCTGAATCGGAACACGGAATGGTTTATGTACCCCGGAGTATGGACTACCTATATTCTAATTCTCTTCTTCTCGTGGCTCCTCGTTCTCTCCCTCTTCGGTTGCTCTCCTGGCATGGCTTGGACAATCGTCAATCTCTCTCACTTCCTCGTATGTTTCTTGTACCTTTTTGGCCCCTTTAATGGCCTTATTCTATTAAATTTTGAATTTGGTTTCTTTTTATGCCTGCAAATTACCCCTCCCCCGCTTTTCTTCTATATTTTGGATTTTATTCTTGTTGAATTTGGGTTGGCTTTGAGGGTTTTGAAGGGTGTTTTCTTTTTCCGCCTTTAATTGTAGTCTATGTTTCCTCCTAATGTAAAACAGGATATATTGTTGCAATTTTCCTTTCGGTTCTTTGGTGGTTTGTTGATTTGTTCTTGTTTCAGTCTGTGATTAGACTGTAAATTGATTTAGTGCTTCAGTTTTAGGTCTTACTTGTCATAGAGCAATTGTTTTAAGTTTGAACTTTGCCTTGTTTTGCTGGCCTGCACTTATTGGGAACTGAAATCACATCAATTTATGTAGTATGTGGGTATGTTTGATGAGAATCATGTCGACGATGCCATGGTTATTCATGCATCCATCTTTTTAAGCTGGTTGTTGTGACATCTTATTTGTAGATGGGGAACAAGGAAATCAGGGTTTTGGCTATTGAACAGTGTCATCTAGTTCTGAGAATCGGTTTTGAGTTGAGATATAGGGTGGCATATATTCAAATTCTTGGTTCCTAGGCATTTCCACAAGTCTCTGTAGCAGAAATCATACTTTTGCTAATTCAATCCATGTTAATGTTGAGCAGTTTGGCTGCTTGGCTAAATATTTTTACCCATATTAATATTTTGGCACTTTTTTAATTCATCTGTATATATCTGTTGTGAAGGCTTTATCTGTTGATTCATCTCCTATTCCACAGTAACTTATTAGAAAGTCAGCATCCATGTAATCGTATAAGGTTTTTCAATGAAGATAATGGGTGAATGGTGACTAGTTGATTGCTGTATATAAAATCTTCACGGTAGATCAATTTAGCAGATGTTATGCTTCTGCTCTTGTAAGGATAAGTTGATTTGCTATTGCTCTTCATGGACTATAAAACCTTAAGCTTTTGCGAAGGATCTTTTTCTTTTTCTGGGGATATTCTCATGTGCTCGTTCTTCCACATTTTCTATATAGTTTCAGAACATGATCAATCTGCTTGACAGTTATCTGAACCAACTTTATGAGATTGGTAACCTTTTCAGGTCACATACCACTTCTTTCACTGGAAGAAAGGAACCCCATTTGCTGAAGATCAAGGGATTTACAATGGCTTGACTTGGTGGGAGCAGATTGACAATGGAAAACAGCTTACAAGGAACAGAAAGTTTCTGACTGTTGTACCAGTTGTGCTGTAAGTCTGCGTATATAATATTTTACAACTTTTCTTCAACTTTCTGAGGATCTTATCCTGTCGTTTTGGTTTTTATATCTGTAATTTATGTGCACATGCATGTGTTCATTCTCAAACATTCCATGTTGATTATTCAGCATATTTTTTGTTCCCATAATTGGGGTAGCAGACTGTATGGACTACCAGGCATGGCAATACCCAACAATGAGTACATGCACATGGATGTCCACCAATCATAGACAGCGTTGTTTGTGCTGTGGTATTGGAACTGGAGTTCTGCAAAATGGCTTTGTTATAATAATTTTTGCATAAGGTCAATTCTCATTCATGAAATTCATACTCATGCTGCCTTGCTATTATCCATGATGAAGCATGTCAATGTGTACGCTGTTAGCTGTGTGGTCTTTTGTATTCTGCCAACATGTGTTTTTTCCATATCTGTAAAAATGATTGTGCTTTTGGCATTTTTAGACTTATCATTACATGGTTACATTAATAAAAGATAAATCTTTTGCTTTGATGTCAATTGGTTGTTTTTTGTTTTTCTGCCTTCCTGACATCCATATATTGGCTCTTGACACTTGGAACAGTGCTAATTTTTGCATAGTTATTCAGAGCGATAGTTGTTATGATACTTTATTTTGTATAATACATTCATCGAGGTAATTCTGCCTTTATTTAAGTGATTTATCAGAACTTTTCTTGGAATTTATGTCAATTGTCAATATAAATTGGAAACTTGGTCCACTGGTAAATGGACTGTCCAAGGCCTGGGAGGTACTAGGTTTAAATGTCCCACCCTGTGTATGTGGATATATTAAGTATTTTGAAAAAACTAAAACAGAAGAACCTCCTACATCCGTGTTAAGATTTTAGTTTTGGAATCATTTGGGAAATTCTCTCTGGCAAGGATTGCAGGTTGTGTGCAACTTGATGCAGACTTGCCTAAGTCTTGTTGTGTAAGAAAAGTCTGATTCATTGCCCTACAAACTGGAAAACATCGACAATATTTTCATAGGCAATAGCAACAGCTTTTCATCCTTTGATTCTCTGGCCGCTTTTATGAACTTCAACATGAGTTCATGCACAGTTTGTGGTCTTCCTTTTTTTGCCACAGAGAGTTCGATGTTTTAAATCTTCTTTGGATTTAATCTGCTGAAGTCAGACATTTAGTCACCATGATTTTTCTTTTTCTGGCAGGTACTTGATAGCTTCACATACAACGGACTACCAACATCCTATGCTCTTTTTGAACACTCTTGCAGTCCTTGTGCTTGTCATTGCCAAGTTCCCCAACATGCACAAGGTCCGGATCTTTGGAATCAATGCAGACAAGTGAGTGGCCTCCTGTTAAGAAAAGTTGATTTTGCCTGCTTGAAAGCCACCTCTCCTTCCCCTCTCTGCTAAAATGGGGTATATCTTTGTATAGGAGGACATTTTGAAGGTGTAATGTTTTTTTCTGCCAAGTGTGCTGACTGGATTTACAATCTCTCTTAGATAAAGAAGGAATAATTGTATCAAGTTATCTTTGTACAGTAGAGAAATCTAATGTATGTCGAATATCATTATGCTGTTATCAACTTATCACAGATCTCCATACTGCTATTTTGTTGTAAATTTCGTTTGTTTGAATCTCATATGGCAGCTGATCAAACAAACAGAAGAACCAGGCGTTAATAATGCCATGGCAGCCTGGACGCCATTTTTTAATTATTGGATTGAAAACAAGACCTTGCAGGCGACCGGAAGATGAGAGAATGGTACTGCCAAAAGCAAATATAGATCAAAGTAAGAATATAGCCTTTGTAAGTATCAGAGCAGAGCAACACAGCATAGGCTGACTGTGAGCTGTATCCTGGGGCTTTCTTTTTCTTCCTCTCAGCATTAGGAAATTAGCTAGTGACTGTAGTTCTACGACATATGCAATTTACTGCTTGGAATCTGTGTTTATTGGCGAGATTGTAGTGAAAAGTAAAACCAACAAAATCATTTCGTAATCATTTTGAAGCTTACAAATGTAAATGGCAACAGTTGACATTGCTCTTCTTTCTACAAATTATCCTATTTTAATTCTCAATTTTATATTCCTACGTGTATAATTACCAATTTTTCACTTAAATGGAAGGTGTCCTATAAGTCAGCTTTTCGAGTTGAAAATTCTCAAATTTAATACATGGCAGCTCGTAAATTTGTAAGGACCAGCACCTCCAACAAAATTATTAGGTCCTTCAGTTCTATTTACAGAGGAAATATATAGAAGAGAGTTTCTTCCTTTGGACCCAAGATGGGATTCGTCTTTCTTCTAAAGCAGAGATAAACTCACAGCTCAAAAGCATTGTTGTAATTATAGGAATTTCCATCGTAACTGGTTATAGAAGAGACGTGATTCCAAACCCAAATTGTTTAGATTCGAGAAGCATAAATAAATAGAGAGACGAGCCAAACAAAGAAAACCATAAAAGAAGCCCAAACATGTGAACAAAGATTTCGATAACCCGATAAAGACAACAACACAACACTAGGGAAAAAAAAATGAAAAAGATAGTGAGTTTTTCTGGATGGGATTGACTTCTCAGGATGCTTTGTCCTGATGGAATGTTCTTGTGGCCAAGTGGGGTTAGCATTTGTCATATTTTTCTTCCTCTGAACATTAAAAACGCCCTTTTTAAAAAAACTTGGGGGTACTTCGCATTCATGGAAGTGGGATATAACGTTAGAGCAACTAGCTAACTGCCCTTAAATAGCTTTAATTTAACTGAGTGGGCATCGAAAAATAAAATTAGGTGAGCATTATAGTTGGAGCAGGTAAACCAGTTTTTTCAAAAGTACAAATTGCAACTAGTAAAAAACTAGACCAGCTAGCTAGCTAGCTAGCTTTCGTTTAATGTTCCAAAATAAGACCTGGGTGGGCTTTGCATTGAAGTATCCTATTGAAAAGCTCCACCTTGGATCTCTAATTAAGGTCTTTCGATGCTGCCGATGAGTTGTTAGAAAGAGCATAAATAGATTCATGATACAAAGAAAACCCGAGTCCATTTAAATTTCATAGGCGGCAGCCATACGGAACAAAGATGAAAGTTCCAGGCCATCACCACACGTTTGAACCTGTAGTAAATGACAAAACAAGCATAATAACTAGCCTTATAATTCATGGTACGACGGAGCGTCTTGAACAAGTATGTTAATAAACTCCAAATTACGAACTTTCATTTCTCAATATCTCTCTTTGCCTATAAACTAGAAATCAATTATTTAAACCAACTGTTTAGATTGGCGTACAACGCTGCAGCAGCCCCTAGTTCTGATAGAAGAATTTATGAATATAGGTCACATTTGCTCTGACAAAATCACAGCCTTCCATTCACTTTTTTCTTCTATCCACACGCAAATGTATTAGACAGCCTCTTGAAACCAAACCCAAGATGGCTCCAATCTGTTTACATTGTTCAGAGAAGGAGATAAAAGCGAAGAAAACCATTATGTATCCTATCTGTTAGTTCTAGACAACTTTAAACAAGTAATCAACCATGTGAATAAATAAACAAAAAGGAAAAAGCAGTTGCATGATGATCTCCGTGTCCTTCTTCTTTCTTTACCATGATCCTCCACCAAACACTCCATTATTCCAATATCCAGCTGAATTGCCTTGTCCCTTATTTTGATCAACTTCATTAGTGCTTGAAATTGGTTTCATTTCTCCAAAAGGGAAGAAAAGCCTTCCTCCATTCTCTTGAACACCATGGATACCAGCCCTGTTTCCCAGTGTATCAATTGAAAAACTAAGGGTTGGTTTGTAGTCTTGCATAGAGAACCCAGTTGAGTACAGTGTATTTGAGTCTGGTGTCGGTGCTGGAATGAAAGAATTCAATCCCCTCGATGCCATTCCACTCCTGAGCAGTTCCAAAGCTGAAAGAGGGGATGAAGTACTGCAGGAAGAGGGGTAGTTTTGCTGCTCGTTGTTGTTCTCCATTTTAGGCAATTGTAAATATTGAGATATACCATGACTCTCTTGCATAGCTGGGAAAGCCAGGTTAAGATCTTGGCCTTTATGGGCCTTAGGGTTTTGAGAAGAAAACTGCGAGAGATTTGTTGGGTTTAGATCTGGGACTTTGGCTGAAGCCGAAGAAGCTGACGAGCTTGATATCGTCGATCTTTTGTTCTTTCTCGAACCACCTCCGACAGGAACATTCCTGAGCGACCCACCTTCAGTCCAGTACCTTCTGCAAGTCTTGCAGAAGTACCTTGGCTGAGTGAGGCTGTAGTTGTTGTAGTAACAGAACTTGGTGTTGGTAGAGTTACATCTTGGGCAATTCAATTGCTCTGGTGGCCTTGTCTTTCGCTCTAACATTGGCCTTGTGCATGTATTAGAAACCATCTCTTCCATGGGCTTCACCAAACCAATATCCTGGAAACCCTGCACCTATATAAAAGAGAGAAGATCAATCATTTCAATCGCAGGACAAAAGGATCAGACATAAATAACAAAATTAACCTGAAACAGAAGAGAGAAAACAAGCAAACACACAAAACAAGGTAAGCTTTTTACCTGCTAAATTCTACTGAAAAACAGGAATAAAAATAATAATAACAAATAAAACCTTTTTCCACCCCTTTATCGGCCATAACACAAAGAAAAAAGATTGACAAAAGCAAAAGTGCAGCCTTTTGAGTTTTGGGTTCCAACAACAAATTAAACTTCAGCTTCCAAAAGGGATTGATCATCCACATATTATGGTAGTTGCACCCTCCATCATGAATATCACGGAGAACGAATAAAAGAGAAAGAAAATAGCTTTTATTGTCCCAAAAAAGATAGTGGAGCTTGATTTTTATTAGTCTCAAAAAAAGCAAATATAAAGTAAAAAAGAAAAACCTACACCCGAACAAAAGCTCAATTTAATTGTCAAAAAAAAAAATCCAGGAACAAATCCACCTACCCGTGACCATTTAGCAGCATCCATTAATTCAGAAGATGAAAAGTGATTGAAAAAAAAAAAATCAAACTGATGACTTCACAGAGAGAGATAAAGAGAGAAAGAGAATTAACCTCCTTTGTCTGCAGCTGCTCTCTTTAGTGCCAAGAAAGAATGTTTTAGACTGTTTCTATACTGGCTTTATGTGTTGGCTTCACTTTATGAATGATGAAAGGAAAGAAAGAGAGGTGCGTTTGTTTTGACTAGCCATAAAATATTACTACATTAATTCCGTTTTTGGTCTTATTTTAATGAGGAATTTCTGCTGGGATTTATTTTAAGACCAATGTATATATTTGTTTAATGAATGTGGGTGGAATTATGAGTGTATGTACAGTAGTGGGTTTTCTGCTTTTTGACCTGAGAATGGGAAAAGTCTTTATTCTTGTTCCTCTCCTGTCACTCCTTTTCAGTGTTTTTCCAAGGACCATTAATGAGCAGGAGAGGTTGGGTTTTTGTTTTTGTGCTGTTTGGTCTATCAAAAAAGATAAGATTTTATCTCACAACACCTCTCCTGTAACTTGTCAAAAGATCCTCTCCACTGCCTGCAACTTTTTCATCTTCTTAAAAGTAGTTCCCTTCGTTTGCTTGCACTTAAAGTAATCTATGATTCACTTATTTTTCTGTCTTTAACTTTCTCGCGCAACCTATTCTCTTTCCTTCTTCATATAGTCTGAAGTTGCTACTACTTATTAGTTCATCAAGCAAGGGAATTTCCAATTTCCTGTAGAAATCAAGTTTCCAGCAGCTTTTCTGTCTCTATAACGTACAAATATAATTTGTTGGCCCTGAATAATGAAATCAAACATATATTGTGTGCTAGGATAGCTCAAAAGTTTGTCATATCAATAAGCTAACATGCTGGGACAACTCTTAATTGAAAGGCAGCCCAGGTGTCAATTGTAATTGCTGTGTTCTTCTTTTTTTTTTTTTCTTTTTCTTTTGCTCATTATAGAAACATTTATAATCTACAATAAATTAGAATTTAAAAAATCATACATTTGATCAAATAATTTATAGTTTTGAAAAATAAAAAAGAAATTATAACATCAAAGTGCAAAAAACCAACATCGGAAAATGTCTATAATATTTAAATTTAATTTTGATAGTTTTATAATATTCTACCATTTTATGTTAAAAATTATCATAAATACATAAAAAAATGGAGAACAATCAGCCCCGACCTAATGAGAGTCAAATTCTAGTATATTGTTAAGGGAGTCACAATCCAATTAAGTATCCAGAATCAACGAGTTCTTAATCTGTCTAGGAATGGAGCTTTGAGTACAAGTATGGTGTTTCATAATCAAAATTGCAAGAGTGGAAAATAATGAGGATTTTATTTATTGGTCAACAAACTTGAGAAAACTGTACATACAAGGACAACATATTTTTACCCTTTCTTTCCTCAAAGATTTCCTTGAGACTTGAGAAGCTTATAGACCTCAAAGTACGCCATGGCAAGAGGGAGAGAATGAATCCCCCCTCCACCCTTCAGGCTAAATTAACTTAAACCAAAATGAAACTACTCAACTACCTTGTTACAACTTACTTTTTCACCTCCTCCTCCTCCTCCTCCTTCTTCTTCTTCCAAGTTCCACCTTCAACAACTTTTAAGGGAAATGGAAATTGATGGCATAACAAAAAGTTACCCAGTGAAGAATACTTTTACTCGATCAAAAAGAGACGGGAAAAAAAAAAAGAGTATGTGAAAGAATAAAATTGAATGTTGATGGAGGGAGGGAGCCGACAGGAGCCGACAAAGGGGAACGTGGGACCCAAATAATGCGCGATGGCATGGAAAATAAAACTATTTTATTACATAAGACTGGTTGTATTTTCTTTTTCCTTTTTGTTTGTTTGGTCATGGGTTTTCTTTTTTGTGACGGTGACGCATATGGGTTCAAATTCTGGGAAACAGCCAAGGACTCAGAATCTCAGTGCCTCTTTTCGTTCCAGTTTGGTTACGGCTTACAATCAAGCAACACGCTCTCTTCCCTGACAAGGGGGAAGAGGGGAGGGAAACCCCATTTGCATTTTCTTCCTTCCTTCCTTCCTTCCTTGTAGTTTTCCCACTGTTTAGACTTGACAACACTAATAAAGAAAGACTATCCTTCCTTGTCCCTACACATGACTCCACTTGAGTTAATTAACGAGAAATAATCATGGCTTTCCGCAGATGAGACGTGTGAATAAAACAGTTTTAATTGTTCATTAACGCGTTAAACTTATCAAATTACACAGTGTTGAATAAAAGAGTAAGATAAGTCCAAACGAATTACAAACAACTGAATTTTTCCAAATTAAAAAAAAAAAAAGTTAACATTTACGGGTGTCAACTTATATATGTACAAAAAATATTCAAATTATCTTTAATAATCATCAAATTTTCATTGGACGTCCAAAAGCAGAATCTTTGTCTTTGAATTTCAATTTTAGCCAACACTTTAATTTCATTTTTCTTGGAACAAAATGATGCAAGTCATTCAATTGCTGCTGGAAAAAGTGTTCTTTCTACACAATTATAAAGAAACCTTTTTATGTCTCCTAGAAAAGATAAAATTTGTGAGTACGAACCAACTATGAAATTGGTAAAGCACTTTCTAGCTTCAAAGAAAACAGACACAGGGAATGGAATGGTAAGCATACCGCTTCAAAACACAGATGCTTTGGTGGGTTAAGCCAATAACAATTATTCTCGTGTCCACAGGTTCAAGGTTGATGGCTTCATTTGAACCATTTCAACGTGTAACACATGCATCTGGTGCTCTACACGTCATTGGTCCTCTTTTCCAATATCGTCAATTGAATTTGTTTCGAAATTTAATGTATTGATAATGTATAATTTTTATATATTATTAAATTATCAAATTTTGATATCTCATTAATAAGACTGTTTTGAAAAAAAATTATTATTAAAATTTAATATTATTTTGAGATCTTATTAATTTTTTATTTTTTAAAAAATAATACCTGATTAATGAAGTATTAGGATTTAATGATCTCATCAAATATTAATTTTTTTTTCATGAAAGGAATCTATTCAGGCTACTCAAAAGCTGTCCCCCCTTAAAGCCTGTCAGTGGTTGAAGTATAACCACTCGCAACACTTTAGAACTAGATGTTCACAGTGTTTCGAGCTTTTTGGCTAATGTGGCTACACACTCTTGACCAAAATTCATGGTGACGCTCTTGGGTGACGATTTGCCCGGGAGGAATTGGGGGCCCAGTTCCGATGAAAGGCCGCACCAAAATGATTTGGGCAGGTCCCGGACAATAAACTGAACAAAAAAAGTAAAAAGAAGAAGAGAAATTAGAACCATCCATTAAAGTACCAGTTCTGGCTGTTTTCCTTAAAACTAAAAAGTGAGTCAACAAGGAAGGCCCATTTCTTTTACCTCATGAGTATTACATAGTAACAGATAGCATGTTCTATTGAACTTTTCCTCCAATGATTCAAAGTCTCAGTAATGGTTGCTTTCTTTTTCTCTCATACACTAGACGAACAATCAAGTGAATTAATTTGGAAAAAGGAGCATAAATTTGCATTTCCTAGGTTGGATTCTTTTATTTAAAATGCATGAATTTAAACTGTAAATCTATACCTATAATATAGGGTGATGCGGGAACCTAGATAGGCTTGTAGACCTGTAAGCTTTAAGTCTTTAATTCGGCCTTAAAAGGATTTGACGTTTGGACATTTTGGGTCCAGCTTCGAAAATCCTTTCCATTTCGGTCTTAATCGAAAGTTATCACATAAATGAGCCAGGGTAAAGGTCTTCAATGACCTAAGTCTGAAGCCTTGAAACCAACCAGGCCTTGGTTATATTTGCAACGTTCATTTTGGGCCCTCATCAGGCTCTTGCATGGCGGTTCCCTCCCTAAGAACAAAAAGACTTGTGTGAAACAGTATTCAATTGTAAAGCATGTGTAAACGTAGAAGTAATTTGTGAAAATTTTTCGTTTGCATATCAAACATTCATCATAAAAATAGATAATGATTCTGATAGTAATAAGGATGTGGACCACAGACTATCGATATGTATATATGTTGTTCAATGGGAAGAAAGAAAATGTGATGCTTTAGGTAACCAGAAAGGCAGATGTGCGCTTTGTTTCAACCGGTGTTAATTGATCGTCATCGGATCTATGATTTTGGACAGAAGCAAGAGATAAGCTTTTCATAAGAGTTCTTTTTCAATTGTCAACATCACATCCACCGACAAAATTTCATTATTTTTTATTTATTTTTTAGATAAAATATTCTCATCTTTAATTTTTGCTCATAATTTCATTGAGTTCTTTAGATTTCAAAATTTACAATGAAACTTAAAAATGTAAATATTGTTAATAGAAAATATAAAAAAATTAAAATATTTTTTTTCTTCAATTTGTTTTTGTTCTCTCAAAGAATGTGGCTAGTTGGTAATGGTTACATTCGTCTGTTGACACTCCAAGACAAGTGCTCCTCAGGGAGCACCACTTCATTGCAAAAGGAGAAAAAAAAATTTTAAATTTAAAAGATCATATTTATATAAAATAATTTTTAAAATTAATAAAAAATAAAATTATTTTTTTAATATTATCATGTTATCAAATTAATAAAAATATTAATAATTGATTAATCATTAGACTTATATGTTTAGTTAAAAATATTCTTTTGAGATGAATTACTTATTTTAAAAATTAATAAATTTATATAAAATTATAATTAAAAATTTAAAAAAGTAAAAATATTTTAATATTTCTTTTTTTAAAAAAAACCTCATTTTTGGAAGCCCCCGAAACGCAAGTTGGTCAGTGTGGGTTCCTTTCAGGCTCTACTCGAGTTAGGGTGGTCCAACGAAAGCCCAACATAATTGCAACGGTGACGAGGGCGCCTCCCAACAGTCGGACATTGAGTTTGCACCTTGGAGAGTGGTCCATTTCGAAAGATGTCTTGTTGTG